AAAACCCTAACTTTTCATGAATCAGAAATTCATTCATAATTATTTATGGAAAAACACAAATTCTTAAACACTGGCTCTGATACCACATGTAAGCAATTTAATCAGTAATTCATTAATACATGTTCAACAATGATCATTCAAGAACATGATACAGGATCTTTAGAATTCATGATTTTCACATAAGAGCGTACCTTTCTCCATTAGTGCGGAAGAACTCTGATGAAGAACTTTGATGATGGAAGATTGTTTCTCAGAGTCTTTACCCTCTGCTTTCCTTGTATCGTCTATGACAGGGATCTGATACAACTATTATGGGCAGACCATGAAGGAGAGAATTCTGAGAGATAAAAATCCCAGAGACTCACCATTTTTCTCTTTATATAACTGAACCATGTCACCAGTTACGGAGTTTCAAATAACTCCCTGTAACTTCCCATTAATGCGAAACGTCAAAACGTCAATTACCATTAATGTAAAACGTTACCATAATGCAAAACGTCAAAACGTCAATTACCATTAATGCGAAACGTCAATTACCATAAAGCCTCTTTTATTATTTAATTAAACCGATTGACACACGTTACACATGAGACACACAGATAGTTTTACAAGCAGTACCAAGTTGAGTGTCACTCACTCACTCACTCGTCTGAGATTAAATAACGAATAAGATTGTTATGAATACATAGCAGTACCAAGTTTTCTTCTTTCTTTCTTTCTTCTTGGTTTAGATGACATGAACCACCACGACGAAGTTGTGAACGCTGGATCAAGCAGAGCCAACATTGCATTTACAGGGTAATATTCGCAAACTCAAAGTGTCACTCACTCACTCACTCGTCTGAGATTAAATAACGAATAAGATTGTTATGAATACATAGCAGTACCAAGTTTTCATTTTTCTTTCTTTCTTCTTGGTTTAGATGACATGAACCACCGCGACGAAGTTGTGAATTCTGGATCAAGCAGAGCCAACATTGACACTGCTGCATCTACAGGGTAATATTCGCAAATTCAAAGTGTCACTCACTCACTCACTCACTCGTCTATGTGATTTTTTATATTCAAAGGTTTCTTCTTTTCTTGTTGGGTCTCTTTCTTTTTAACTCTCAAAACTCTTTTCTTCTTTCTTTCTTTCTTCTTGGTAAGTATGTATATAGTCACTGTGAATTTTTCAGCTGATTAATAATAAAACATTTTTTTTTCTCTCCCTAACCCTCTCTTGTGATAGTGATTAGTAAATGCTAGTAGAATGTTAGTTCAGATATTATAAAATTGTTTTCATGGGTTATACACTGGGTATCCTCGGGTTAGCTTTTTCGATAACTGAGATTAAGTCATTACAAAATTGTTTAAATTAGATCAAACGTCAAAGAAAATTTTTCTCATTCCTTGAATCGAACCATTCTGCTAAACTGGATATATTTCTTTGCATATCACTTAAGTGTAAAATTTTAACGGATGATAGTTTGGTAAAGCAATTATAATGAGTAGACACTTATATATCTACAGGAAAAGAAGCATCTTTAGTTTTTCTGTCTTCATATTTGTTTGATAACTGATACCCTAGTAAAGTCTTTGTTCAATAACCTGATACATCCCTAATAATAAAAGGTGTTGAGTCATTAGGTGGTCAGTTAAATAGTTATGTGAATAATATTCCTTCTTTCTGTTAGGTGGTAAGTTATGGGAATAATATTCCTTTTCCTAGTTAGGGTGTATTTTGCTGAAGTGTCTATATAATGGATAGGGAATCATTGTATAGGCATCTTGGGAATTTGGGACTAAACTTGGGAGAGATTTCAGAGCCTTTCGAATTGCTCTGAGTCTATGTTACTTTCTGTATTTTTTCTTTGCTTTCATTATACCTTTTGTAAGCTTCCATAGTTGATTTAATTTTAGATCAGCTTTCATTAATACAACCGACCATATTCGACTTCTGTTTTCTTTTATCAGTTGTTGGATCCTATCATAACCACACTGCATAAATTCTCCCAACTACCCTTATTTTGGAAAAAATACCAGTGTCAAGCACGGTGGGAAATATCTGTCATCAAATTCAAAATCTAATTGAGAACTGTCCAACACTCCAAGGAAATTGCATGTGGTGCTAGTTGTAATATATGAAATAACTCAAATTTATTTTTGACATAACACTTAGAATTTCCATTTTACTGATGCCTCATTGGTTGAGAGGCTGTTGACAATTTTTTTACATGATACTTGGTTGAGAGGCTGTCCAGTACCAAGTTGAGTGTCACTCACTTGTCTATGTGATTTTGTGGGCCAGGTCCAATATCAATGCATGCACTTGTTTGAGATTAAATAAATGGTGGTTGTGATATTCACAGGTTTGAAGCATAATTCTCCTGCATGTAAGTATGTATATTCAAAGGTTTCTTGTTTTCTTGTTGGTCTCTTTCTTTTTTATTCTCAAAACTCTTTTCTTCTTTCTTTCTTTCTTCTTGGTTTAGATGACAAGCATGAACCACCACGACAAAGTTGTGAATGACTCCCAAGTCATGCTGGGTCAAGCAGAGCCAACATTGACTAGCGACTGCTGCATCTACAAGGTACCCTTTAATATTCGCAAACTCAACGAAGATGCCTATACCCCTACGGTTGTTTCTGTTGGCCCTTTACACCACCAATGTCATCCACACCTCCAAAATATGGAAAGACACAAGCTCAATCTTTGCAAATCATTTCTTCAACGAGCAAATGTAAGTTTGGATGTGCATTGATTGCCTATATAGAAGAGGTTAACCGAAATTTTGTTCTTTTTATTCTGTTACCATTAATCTTAGTAAGGAGAGACTTGTGAAGATGATCTTAATGGATTGTGGTTTCATAATTGAGCTGTTTCGGAAAACCTACAATGGTGATTGGTCAGCTGATAAGAACCTTTTTACGAATCGTAAGTTGGCCAATGATATAAAGAGAGATTTGTTTTTACTTGAGAACCAGGTTCCCTTTGTTGTTCTTGAGGACCTGTTCAATATGTCCTTTAGCTCTGGATCTAACCCTTCATTTCTTACGCTGACATTTGCCTATTTTGCCGATTTTAATATGACCAATTTGGCTTGTGGTAATGTAACCGCAAGACACTTCACAGATCTTATTAGGCTGTTTCACTTACATAGTTCTCAACCTCAACTTCAACCGGCTAGGATAGATACTGAAGAAATGGTACAGCTTCCTAGTGCAACTAAGTTGTTAGAAGCAGGGGTGAAGTTTGAACTAGACCTGAAATTTTCAGGAAGGATTCTTGAAATCCCACAGCTAGAAGTAACTGATATGACAGAGACTTTGTACCGGAATTTGTTGGCTTTAGAACAATGCCTCTGCCCTAAAGAGTCCTACATTACCGACTACATTGTTATTTTGGACTTCCTTATAAATACCAGCAGAGATGTGGATATACTGATTCAAAAGAAAACACTCATTAACTGGTTGGGGGATAATGATTCTGTGGCTAACATGTTTAACAGTCTATTTAAAAATGGTAGACTTACAGATTTCAATTCTCATTATGTTCAAATCTGCGAGAATTTGAATGCTTTTTGTGCAGATACTTGTCATGGATTGAAGGCCACTTTGAAGCATGATTATTGCAAAACTCCTTGGCAAACCATGGCTTCCATCACTGGAATCGTACTTCTTGTTCTTTCTTTAATTCAAACAATTTGTTCTATTTTACAAGTAGTTTAACAATGTAATTTCATTAGTTTTGTTGAATTTTGGATTATTTGAATCAATTCTTTCAGTTTTCTACTGTCTATTGATTGATGTTAATTTTGTCAAACATAATTGAATGGAGAACATGAATTTATACCTCGCCATCAAATGTAATTGCATCTGCCTGTTCTGTGAACCTTGATCTGTTCATCAGATTGTCATAGTAATCAAGGGTCTCCAATCCCTCAATACGCACCTCACTGTAGATTCATTCAACCTCTCTTAAAGACATAATTAATTAGCGAGATCTTTCAAACTTATCTGTTTGAGTCATAGCAAGCAACCATAGGGTCCAAAAAAGACTATTATGGCATGATGGTCTGATTATAAAAGTAAAAATGTGAAAATCTAATGGAAATTAAAAACTTCTGCAACACAAAACAATTGCAAGAAAACAACAATGATAATTTGAAAGTGAAATAAAATAAGCTGTTAATCTATATATACTCTGCTTTGCAAATATGCATGTGAGTGAAGTGAGAAGTCTCACGTTAGAGAAATTGAATGAGATTTTGAATGTTTTATAAGCTTGGAAAGAACCAACTCCATTATAAGGTTATCCTTTTGGTCATGTGGTTCTAACATGATGTGCCCCATGTGTTGATAAATTAATATTATAAATTATTTTAATTTGTCTCAGAATTTTTTAAATATTTTTGCAAATTCAAAAACTTCAAATTTATTTTCAATAATAATAGTTTAATGATTTTTTTTTATTTTTCTTTTTGTATAAAGAATTCAAATATTTACAAATGAAGATTTATCTTATGTGACATAAGAAAAATAAAATTCTAATTTTATTCTTTTTTTTTTTTTAAAAATACGACTAATTGCCGATAAAACCAAGAAAGCTCCGATAAATTCACCTACTTGAAATGAAATCTCTTGGCGGGCCCCACTAGAGTATATGTAATATGTGTATATATATATATTCTTGCTCCAATTTAATTTTTTTTCCTATTATTAAAGGAAAAAATGTAAAAAACTTTTGGTCAAAGTAAGTAAATTTCAGTATAAATAGAAAAAAAAGAAAAAGAATTAGTGGAAATCATTTATTTTTATGGGAACGTAACTGATAAATTTTTTGTAACTCCTTATTAAAAACTGAAATAAAAATTATTATTCGTGAGACAAAGAAAAAAAAAGAAAAAGATCAGAACTAATATCGCTTTAAATAATTTATTTTTTCTGATTCTCATTTTAATTAAAAAAAAAACAATAAAAAAAGGCCAGTGAGATTCAATCAGGGTTGAAGTGTTTACTGTTTAACACAGAAACAAAAGCTCAGAAAAAGAGAGAGAGAGAGAGAGTTTTGAAGGAAGCGATTGAAGAGTGAAAGTTCACAATCCATCGTGTTGGTTTGGTTGATGAGAAGCAATTGTTCCACTCAAACGCCAGCTGAATCGGCGTCGTTTTGATTTCTCAGTGACTTTCTCTGACCAGGTCAGATTCAAGTAAACAATTGTTCTTCCCTAACCCTAGGTTCCTATATTTCTTCAATTCGCTCTTTTCTATTCTCAATCTCTCTAATTCCGCTGTTGCCCACTTCTTCTTTATTGTTTTTTTTTTTTTTTTGCTTCTTTTTTTGTGATGTGAGTGACTTTGCTTTATCAATTCATTGCTCTTTTGGGTTTGTTTGATCAAATGTGTATTGAATTTATTGGGGCTATTATAAAACGTGTATTTATGATGCTGAAGCAAAGAGATGTTGCAGTTAAAGCGCTGATAAACGTGGAATTTTTTTTTTAAAGATGCGATTTTTTTCTCTTCATAGAAGGTTTCCTAGATACCCTTCGAATTTTTGGTTTAAATTAATCTAGCAGGCATCCATTATTAACACTGCCAGTCAGAGAATAGAGGAAATAATTTTGCATGAAAAAAATTATATTCTTTTTGTGGTTTAATTTAGTGTGCTTTATTGTTAGTGCAAAGATAATAGCCAGCCATTTTAAGTAAATGATGAAAATCAATGAAAGAGGATGGATTATTTCTCCGCTTAAGTTTATTTTATACATATGACTTGCAGGGATGAAGGTATACTTAGATTTATTATTAGATCTCTTGCAGTTTATGGGATCTAAAGACTTATCTTTTCAAGGCTTGGTTGTTTAACATGCTGAGATTCTGTTTGTACTGGGAAGAAGTCTTTTGATAGTAAATTTGATACGCTGTTTGGAAATCCATTGCAGCACAAGAGGATGTATAAAAAAATTGTACTTTATATTTGGACTGTACAAATTCCATTAGGAAAAGTTATGATAAAGCTTGTGTTGGAGGTTTTAATTGGCAATGACGTATTGTGGATATTTTGTTTTTTTGGCAATTGGAGATGTAATGAAGCAACTAGTGAAATTGATGTGTTGGTGAAGGTTTATTTCTAGTGAGACAGACTTCACGAAAAAAGGATTAAACAAATTACATTTTTTGTTGCCAAGGAGTCGTGGATGAATCTTACTATGTATTTTATTTGCTTAATCATGGGAAAATGCCTGGGCTAGGAGCTCTCATATTTCAAGGATTTTTTTTTTTATTTAATAAAAGAAGAAACACACTGAGATGGAGAGAAATAAAATTAGAGTTTGGAGCATAAGGAGTCCTCCTTAACATAAGAGTAAAACACAAAGCTACAAACAAAAAAAGAAAACATCAATGGGGCAAAGCTGTCCAATTTCTCAGCATCTGTTAGGTGAAAGACCTTAAAAGGGCCATGTGCTTTACACCAAATAGAATCCAACTGCCGTCGGTTTATCCTAAATCAACTATTGTCTCATATAAACCACCTGAAAATTTTAGAGATAAGGTTCCATCCAAATGCTTCAAATGGGAGCATAGATTTATTGCCTAAACAATTTAGCCCCTCTTAACTGCTACCAAACCAATGAAAGCTGATTATCAAAAAATTAGTCCAAGGACTTAGGATACACCCAAAATTCATAAAATGGTAAAACAAGGAATTCCATAGAGAAATAGCAGTGGAACAGTGTAAGAACAAGTGTGAAACCTATTCTATGCTGGCAGGGCACATAATGCACATATCAGGAGAAAGACCCTTATTTGGCCTACGAACTTGCAACATGTCATTTGAATTTATTCTGTTAAGCACAGCAGTCCAAATAAAAGACTTGAGCTAAGAGGGAGCTTTGAACTTCCAAAGGGGTGATTCAAAAAGGAAAGTAGCTCTATTCAAATGAGTTAGAATGATTTTCAAAAACACCCTAGAAGAGTCCCGGGACAATTATTTTTATGCAGGTCAAAAGACAAATAAATGGAGCCAAAGAGATCTAAAATAAACTACAATGTAGAAATTTCCGTATCATGTTACAAAGAAAGTGGACTTTTCAGGAAATAACAGAATCTTGAAATGGTATAAATTGTGGATAGGAGAGTTGTATAAGGAAGAAGGACAATAGACTTGTGGGAAAGCATATCTAAAATGCAAATCTCCTACCCAAAGGTCCTCCCAGAAGTGGACATGAGAGCCATTACCCACCTTCAAGGAATTCTGAGACTTAAAGCATAGAAAAACCATGTGAGATAAATTTCTATGGACTAAAATGTGATGCTTGGATTGTTGTGTTGGCAACCCACCCATTTTGATCCAAGCCATGCCTACCCAATTGTTGTTTTGACTTTTGTCAGCTTAGGTTTTTAAAATACATGCATGGAATCTCATTTCCTAATTATTGAGGGATAAATGATATTCTTTTTTTAAGGAAATTCTCTCTATATATACCTCAACTTCCCTATGTTGTTATCCCTAAGTTCCTCATTAATTTATTTTCTGCTTTCAAATTTGTCAGGGTGTTCATTGATGAGTTCCTAGGAATGTGAGCACTCAAATGAACCATATGGAGCATTGGATGACTAGCTTGGAATTTCCTTCCATTAGCTGATTGTGCATTCAATTAGTAGAGAAGAAAAAATTATATGTGATCCAAAAGTTAGATTGCATTTAGCTTAGAGAATGTTTCAACTTCCGATTTCTATTTCTTATTGCTTTTTACCATTTAGGTAACATGTTTGGACTTTAAACAGTTGAAATCTATTTTCTTGATTTTTATAATCTTGTTTCACCATGCAGAACAACTATGACTCTCACAACCTCATGCACATACAAAAGTCAATTCATTACAGAATATATCTCTCTCAAAATTATCTCTCACTATATAGATCTAATTCAGAACATTGTATTGAGAACCTCTTCATAAAATTGAAGCTTCCTTTGGTTTTTCCCTCCACCTTATCATCTCAGCGAAAGCTGTGTTAAAATATCTGCATCTTCATCCCAGTGAAGAAGGCACAATTATACATAAGGAAAGGGAAGACAGTGAATGAGGGAAATAATGGGGGAAGCATGGTATGGTGTTGTTCAGAGTGACATACAGCTGTTAGGAGCATTGGGTGTATATGTGTTGGATAAAAGGATGAGGAAAATTTTAAAAAATACTATTATGACTTTCATTAAAATGCAAAAAAGGCTTTATATGGTATTTTAAAATTTTAAATTTTTTTTGAGGAAACAGGAACAGTGAATAACTTACCAAACTCATTTTCTGATATGATTACTTTTTTTTCATCCTGACAAGGAAAGCAGAAAATAGGTAAATCAAACGCATCCCTAGGGTTGTATCATCGTATGATTTGGAATATGTAGATGATAGTTTTCTAATTTTTTGGGGGATTTAATTTGATGCTTATTTGAGGGATGGAATCTCTACTTACAGGTAGTGTTGACAAGTTGTTTTCAAGGTCTAAAGTATGAATGGATCCTCTATGGTCCATGGTTTTAACTCAAAAACAAAAATTGGCTAATATTTCCTCATTTTTTCTTAATTTTGAAATTTAAGTGATCATATATTTTTCTTGGAAAAAAAAAAAACTAGAATAATGACATGGACTGTTGGATGTGGGTTTTGATAAACATCATGGTAACTTGGATTTAGTTACCAGCCTCCTAGTTTAGAAGTGTTGAAAAAAAAAAAAAGAGGAACAAGATGATAGGATGCATGGAAAGGTCCAAAAAAGTAAGGAATAATGCATTCTTAAGGGATCTAAATAGTTGTACTAATATGCTACTCTCAACCTTTATTTATACTAATACTACAACTACATTAATAATCATATTTTGGTGTACAGTGTACTACAAGAAAGTACTCTCTGAATGCTTAAGACTTTCCTAAATACTTAGTACTCCATAAGAAAAAGTGAGAGGCATAGACTGGTTTATTGTTTTTTTGCATGTTGTTAACTTTCTGTATGTGTGTGTCTGTATTTATATATGTATGTAATGGGTATCATTCTTTGTGTTATTATAGCATTAATTTATGGTTTTCTCTCCTAATTCTGTTCTGTAATATTTTTTTTTAATTTGTAGGGACGATTGATTAATTTTCTTGACTAGTGAGTCTGTCTTTTGTCAACTTTGCTGCAGATATTGGAGATTGATATGATTTTTTAACCTACCTGCCTACGTACGGTGCTGAATAGATACCTCTGGTTCTTACCTCATGCTATTTTAGTTGTGTAACATGTAATGGTGCCTGTTTAGTTTTCTAGTCCAAGCTGGCTAATTAGTCTATGGGTATACTCAAAATTCAAGCTTGGCAATAGTAATTAGCATTGAATGAGGGCATTTGTAACTTAACTATCATTGGAGTTGAAAGGAAAATTTTGGTTCGGGAAAATAAAAAAAGCATCTTCGTAAAGATTTTGGATGCATTTTCTAATTTGGTTTGAGGAAAAGGTAAATGATACGAACATGGAAGAATTATAACATTGATTTGGCCTCTTCAGAAGGTGTGGATATTATGGTATAAGAAGAAAAATGGAGCATATTTCGGAAAAAAGGTTTCCTCTCAATGCAGAAGATTACAAGTTATATGAAGAAGTTGGTGAAGGTGTTAGTGCCTCGGTATACAGGGCTCTCTGCATTCCACTCAATGAGATAGTCGCCATCAAGGTTCTTGATCTAGAGAAATGCAATAATGATTTGGTATGTAGTCTAATGTCTTATACAGTATGTAATGTTTATTGTTTTCAGTTTCCTCTGCGTGTGATAATTTTTATTGCCTATTTGGTTACTATTTGTAAAATAATTGAACACTTGATTTTCTAAGGGTGTGAAAAAAATTATGCTTGTAATTAAGGGCCCTCTGGTTGAATTCGATCATTCTATTTAATCTTCACATGTATATAGATCCACTATATTGTTTTCATATTTTACTGTACCTTTCTTTTCTCTTAAATTGTGTTGCTAGCTACTTGCTACTTGAAGTCATCATTATGACATTACATTGTTTGGTGGTAAATTATCCATTTGTGTCTGTTCAATTGTTCATTCTTTAAGTCTGTTGAATTAATATGTGCAGTTGCATAGTTGACTTTATTTACTTTAATACAATGATATTTTCAATCATTTGTCCCTTGTTTGATAATAATTTGTGTGTTCATGGGTGCGAGTGTGTATTCGGTTGCTGTCATATTGGGAACATTCTTAATGATAGATGTGCAAATTGTCCAGGATGGCATTCGGAGAGAAGTACAGACCATGAGCTTGATTGATCATCCAAATGTTTTGCGGGCTTATTGCTCTTTTACTGCTGGACACAATCTTTGGGTTGTGATGCCATACATGGCCGGGGGTTCTTGCCTTCATATTATGAAATCTGGCTATCCTGAGGGTTTTGAAGAGCCTGTTATTGCTACTTTATTGCGTGAGGTTCTCAAAGCTCTTGTCTATCTTCATGCCCATGGTCACATACATAGAGATGTTAAGGTATTGTGCTACACCTTGACAAATATCTGTCCTCATGTTTTTTAAAAGATATGCACCCTTAATATTGAATATTGAGAATCTGACCGTTAGAACTCTTAATCATAAACTAAGTGGAATTGTGTGATTGAACCTGAGATTTTGAAATAACTCAGTGTTCTGCTTTTTTTGTGCTTGTAAAGCTGTATCTGAACCCATGAATTAATTTATTTTTATATGAATGACTTTTTCTGTCCTTCCTCCACATGTTTGGATTTCTGGTCTTCTCTTTTCTCCTCTTTTAAACATTTTTAACTATGCAGGCTGGGAATATTTTGCTTGATTCTAATGGTGCAGTCAAACTAGCTGATTTTGGAGTGTCAGCGTGTATGTTTGATGCTGGAGATAGGCAACGCTCAAGAAATACTTTTGTTGGAACACCTTGCTGGTATCATTTACTTTCTATTGATCCTCCTTTGTTTTACTTTTTTTAATGAAATCTGGCTACCATCATGAGCATAAAATGAGAGTAGCGGAAATGAGGATGTTAAGATGTGTGGTTATACGAGATTGGATAAGATAAGAAATGAAGATATTCGACGAAAGGTAGGAGTAATACCTGTGGCGGAAAAAATGAGAGAGCATATATTGAGGTGGTTTTGGCACATAATAAAAAGGCCGTTGGATGCTCCTATAAGAAAAAAAGTTTGTTACTAAGAGCTTGACATAAAGAGAGGTAGAGGTAGACCGAAACTTATTTGGGGGAAGGTAGTAAAACAAGGCTTAATAGAATGGGATATAGATTTGCAGATGATGTGTCTTAGGACGGAGTGAAGAAAAGCTATAAGCATGGTGGATGGTTAGATTCGTTTTTTATTCCTACCTTTTTCTCTTTATCTCACTCCCTCTCTTTCTTCTTCCTTCTTCTCTTTTATTCCACTTTTCCTTTCAATCTTTTTCTCCTACCTATTTATTTATGTGTTTTTGTTTTCCTTTTTCCCTATATCCTTTTTTATGTCTTTTATTTTAGGGAAAAATATTTGTCCTTTTAAAAGACATAGAGTTGTGTCATTTTAAGTGAGAAAGATACAAATTAATATTTTTTTATTTTAAAATTTAAATTAAAAAAAAACACCCACTTTTTCCTTCAATGATTTCCATCGCTTGTGTCTTTCTTTCATTCAAAATGACACAACTCTGTCCTTTAAAAGGACAAACATCAAACCCTTTATTTTATTTATTTATTTATATTTTTTTTTATTTCTTACCTTCTTATTCTCTTCTATCCTCCTATATATTCTTATTTGTATTTTATTTTAATTTATTTTTCCTTATAATTGTGTAATGCTTTTCTGTGTATAATATTTTATATATATATAAGTTTTTTTTTTTTTCACAATCTTTTCGTACTATTTTTTGGGTTCATCTACCACTGACCCCAACTAGTTCGGGATAAAGGTGTTGTTGATGTTGATGTTGATGTTGGCTACCATCATATGAATATGACTGTTGAAGTTGTGAATTGTGTTTATTTTCCACAGGATGGCTCCTGAAGTTATGCAGCAATTACATGGATATGATTTTAAGTGAGTGCCTTCTATTCTTCTCCTCCCCCTTATGCTTGGTTTTCTTTTTATTTTATTTTTGCTATCTTGCTCCCTGTTATCTTAGTCTTTGCTGAGCTTTTATATTTGTATTATCTTTATAAACAGAGCAGATATATGGTCATTTGGTATAACAGCACTTGAACTTGCTCATGGACATGCCCCTTTTTCCAAGTATCCACCGATGAAAGTAATTTACTTGTCTTCTAAAATAACTCGCATGTGCTTACTGATAGCACTTCTCTGCTTGTTACTGTGAGTTCAGAGTTGATTTCTTTTCCTTATTTTTCTGGATGCAGGTTTTGCTTATGACTTTGCAAAATGCCCCTCCAGGTCTTGATTATGAAAGAGACAAGAGATTTTCGAAGGTTTGTGGAGTACACTCAACACTTTGTAGTATCTGCTACTAATAAAGGTTGCTTTATATATAAATTGTTCCTCCTTCCTTCCCAGACTTTCAAAGAGTTGGTTGCAACCTGCTTAGTGAAAGACCCAAAGAAACGTCCAAGTTCAGAAAAGCTTTTAAAGCACCACTTCTTTAAACATGCACGTGCCACTGAATATCTAGCTCGCACCATTCTTGATGGCCTTGCTCCATTAGGAGATCGTTTTAGAATGCTGAAGGTTTGCTTTGCTTTGTTTTTCCAAATTCTTCTATTCTATGTAAAAATTGTTTGGGTTTTGCTATCGTTCCTCTGACTTGCTTGTTTTCTAGGCTAAAGAGGCAGATTTATTGGTGCAGAACAAGGCTCTTTACGAGGACAAGGAGCAATTATCTCAGGTAGGTTCCTTTTAAATTTTGTGTAGTAAATATGCTTGCTTCTGGCATGGTCTATGCAAGGTGGTGAATTTTATGAATACAGTCTCTCATTATGTCACATTAAATACATCTCATTGTGCCGTATCCTCTTTCCATGCTGTATCCTTACTTCCTTTTTTAGTTAGACCTTGAGGATTTAAGAATATACTATATATTTGATTGTTCAAATATTTCATGTACAGAAAGAATATATTCGTGGAATTAGTGCCTGGAATTTTAACCTGGATGATTTAAAAAGTCAAGCTGCTCTTGTAAGTATTTTAACCTTCCTACTTTGTCTTATTTATTTATTCAATTAGGTGGAAAAGTTAGGCACTGCTGGGCATTAGTATCTTTCTCCTTGTAACATTTTTTTGTGCCAACAGATTCAAGAAGATGACATGCCAAATGCAGAAGAGCCAGATATGGATAAGAAGCCAAAGGATATATCTGATGGCTTCAGGGTTCCAACAGAGGGGCTATCTGCCGTAGCAGCTAATCATTCAGATGGTGCACCCATGCTGGACAAGGAGGTACTGTTATTTTCCAAAAGTGATCGAATACTTTCTTGGAATCTTCACTTTACTTTTTGACTCTAAACCTTTTGTTAAGTATACTGGCTATGCCTTGATTTATAGCATTTACATTCCATCTTATTTCAGGATGGATTCAATAATCTTCAGGATTTGGAGAGTTCACTTGCTTCATTTCCTATTAAACCTCTTGAAGCACTTAAGTATGGTTATTTCTTCCATTTCTTGCTTTTCTACCTCTTTATTTCTATCTTAAGTGTTTGGCATTGTATTTGGGTTGTGATATCATTTATGTTTCCAGCTATGTGGAAGCTTATATTTCAAGCTGACACTGGATTGTAACTAGTTAAAAATTGGGTTATTTTATTTTATTTTATTTTGTTATTATAGTAAAGTACTTATAAAATACAAACTGGGACCTCTGTTTATCTCTTGTATCAATTCTTCATTAAATCTTTATTATGTATGTCAGTATGTGTCATTTTTTTTTTCACTTTTATGATCTATATAAAAATCCCCTTTAAAGTTTATGCAAATATTCTTTCAGATCCATTTCTTCATTCATTTATAGAAACATATTATGCTATACTATATTTTTATTTTGCATGATAAAGAATTATTTAATAGAAATTTTAGATGTGGCAAATGGGATTTTTACGCATTTGAATTATCAATTGAAAAGTTGTTTTTGGGCTACTAATTTAAATTCTTCCTTGTATTTTCTAAAATTATGTACGAGTTTAGCAATGCAGTTTCCATTAGAGAATATCTTTTAATGTGTAATTTATGCAGAGATTGTTTTGATATCTGTGAGGACGATGTCAATGATGCTAGTCCGAGAGATATGGATCATGATTATGGAAGAATTGACAATGAAAGTTCTGGGCCAAGCAGTTCGTTGCCACAAAATGCTACAAATCAGCAGAAAAAGTTTTTGAGTGGTTCCTTGCTACCTGATAATTTTCTGTCTCCCAAAAAGGTTGTTACCGATGGGGACAGGTAAGTTTTCTTGTTTATATATGTTTTTGGTAGCTTCAATTTTCTTTCCTATTTTCCTCGGGACTTGTTACTAGAACTTCTACACTGATACTTACTTTCTTGGAAATGGATTCTTTTGTTTAAAGGATTTAAGCTGGCCGAAGTAAATGTCTGAGATTTGTAACTTAGCATGCAGTGCAATATCTGTGAGATATATAAATTTTTGTTGTGCCTGTCTTTATCTTTTACTCTCTTTTTTTCCTTCTTGGTTTTGCTTTTTTTTTTTTTTTCCTTCCTTCTTGCTTTTATTCTGACCCCAGCTAGTTTGAGATAAAGGTGAAATGGATGTTGTCTTTATCACTCTTATTATGAAAATTTGTTATCCGTTGAGAGCTTAACTTTGTAGTGATCCGGGACTGCGAGAATTGGGATAACTTCTTTTATCTAATACATGTTCTCGCTGCTTTACTACTGCTGCATATTTTCCTTGCGGTAATAGTTTGCTATAATATGTTTTATGTATCTTTAAAGGGATTTTCTTCAAACAAAATATTCTTCTGAGCGGAATCATAGTGGTCCATTGTTGTATCGGCAGAAGAGAGATACCAACAACCTTCCAGTGGGTATGTTCTTTTTTCTTGTTAATGCAATTAGTATTTTGATCATCTTTATCATTTTCTTTCTCTTGTATCAACTAGATTTTTACTTGTTTTATCTGAATAAACACGTTGGGAAATGGTTCTTACACATTCTTTTAATGCTTTTTTTTTTTTTTTTTTTTATGCAGTTGATGACACATCAGAAGGAGCAGTTGTCCAGCGTAGGGGGCGGTTTAAGGTTACATCAGCCGATCCCAGTCCAATGGTATGTTTAACTATTAAATGGCAGATCTTTTTTACTTTCAACAACTCTTGTATCCTTGAACGTGCTTATTTTGTGTGCTGAATCATCACAGAGTACGGTCATATGTCTGAGCCCTGAATTCTCGTATTAATTTCTGTTTAGCTCTTGCAAGTCTCATAATGTGTAGAGTGTAGACTATTCTATTTATTAAATTTTTTACCCCCTTTTTCTTTGTTATCTTGAGACGATGTAAAAATTATGTATGCTTGAATGTTTGACTTCATGAATATTGAGGATGGAACGGTGATTTATGTTTTAGGCAATGGCTTTGTAACCATTGCCATTTCATTTACTCATTCAGGGTCCTTCAAACTGCACTTCTGGCTCAGTTGGTGGAGGTACTGGCAGTCCACCAAACCAGAACATCATGGCTGCCACAATTCTTCCATCACTGCAGTACATCTTGCAACAGAACAGCTTGCAGAGGGTATGTTTGTGTTGTATTTGTTTCTCTCTTTTTTCTTTTTTTTTTTAAATGACCAGTTTAAGGCATAATTTTTGTTTTCCTAATGGGTTTTGGCAGGAAGAAATTATTAAATTAATAAAGTATGCAGAGCAATCTTGTGGTAATGCCTCGTCTTTTTTTAGCATGCATTTTGCCCCTGAAAACTGGAAAATCCAGTTTGTTCAATCTGAATTTCTTCACTTGTTACAGGCAAGAATACAGAATCAGCAGAGGCAGGAACAGTTGATCTTGTGCAGGTAAATTACCGGCCTTACTTTATGCTTAGCAGCTTTAAAAATCTCTTATATCATGCTATGCTACAAAAAATGTTTCTCTAATCATAATTTTTCTTCAATGATGAGATGCACTGATTGTTGTAATTTGTAAATGTCTCGGATCATTCCTATGGATGTAGTAACATAATAATGTTATTGTTGCTTGATGTTAATGATATGATAATAACAAACATGTAAGCACATCCTATATCTGGTTATTGTCCTTGAGTTTGGATGCAATTTCTTACAACCATAGTTCAAGTGGCACCAAGTCCCTTTGGGGACTGCTTGATTTCTGGATTAAATTTCAGCCAGGTTGCTTTACATGAAACTTTAGGCTGCCACCGCCTTCCTTAAACCAGGTCATAGACCTCCTTTGTAACCACACAATATAAAAAGGAAAAAAATTATGTTGATTTATCATTCACTTAAGTGAGTAGACAAGTAAGAAAATAAAAAATTTACTGGCGATCAATAAAACTCAGATATGCATGCTTGACATGAGATTCTCAGAGAGAAAAAGCGGTGAAAATATTGCCTTTTTTGTGCATACCATGACTTACCTCCTTGAGAAGCTGCATCTTCGATTCCCATCCATCCCTATGTAAATGCCCCCTCTTCTTTCTTTCGCTGTATTAAAATGATAATTTTTTTGTCAAACTCATGATGGATGAGTGTTATATAATTTTTGGATTTGTAATCTATATCCTATATTACATAGGGAATGTCTAAAGAGAAAGAATAACTTTCTTTCGGTCGTTTACTTTTTTTTGTTTTTGTTTTTGGGCCTGTCTTATGTTTTTTGTATATTTAAATTTTACTTGTCCAGCAGTAAAGTTATTGCTTGACAAAGCTAAAAGGGAAAAGAACTTGATATTTCGGATTTTGGAACAATGTTGGCACTATTTGGGCTAGTTTAAATAATAAGTTGAAGCTTAGTTGCAAAACAGTCATTTAATTTAATTTAATTTTTAATTTTTAATTTTTAATTTTTTCGATGGAGGAGGGGATTAAGAAATATTTTGATTACTCATACTGGAATTTGCTACTATACTTGCTGTTTTGTTAAATGTCCTCGTATTTGTGCACCTTGCAGGTATCACCTGCGACAATGAGGGAGAGAGAGTTGCATTTTCAGGTGAATCAACTACAACAGAGGTACACAGATGTAGCTTAATTTATGATTTTTGATATGTAAGTTTAAATTCTACATACATCTTATTTTAAACTCTTATGTCAGCATTGGGAGCCTTGTTGAGGAATTGCAAAGACAAAAGATGAAAAATGTTCAGGTATGTTAATCTTGGTCTGTCTTGTCTAACCTTTTTTCGTTAGAGCAGTGATGCTTTTGCATGGTTTTCATGCTTGCTTCAGTCACAGATGAATGTAGATGGCTTTCTGAAATTTTTCTTCTTTTTGAACTTTTTCCCTGTTTTTTATTTTGCAGTTAGAGAAACAGTTGAGCTGTATGGTTAACAAAGTTGATAAATGATGAACGTTATCATGGTTTGACTGATATTGAACAACACCCGGCTTCAGTGATAACTCTCGATGATGGTTTGCCACATACTTGAGGGATGGGGGCACGACTCAGTTGTATTACAATGTGTGAACTTTTGTTTTCTGCTGACACCAATTTTTGAGACTCTATTCCTTGAGTCACCTGTAAAATGTAATTTATTGACGATATAATGAGATCATGTAATTAAAACACCTCTCTGTATGTCTCTCCACCCACCAAAATATTACTCTTAAGATTATAGCATATAACTACTTAGCTCACCAATGTAGCAATCTGTGCCTCTTTCAATAAATTCATATCACTGGGTGTGCATGGAGCGGTTCGGTTCGGTTATTGTCAAAAATCAAACCAAACCAGTTTTAAACGGTTTGGATTTTAAACTAAATCAATTTTTTAAAAAAAAAATCGGTTTTTAATTTGTTCAAATTGGTTTAAAATCGGTTTTAAAACCCGTTTGTGAATTATAACCGGTTTTAATTCAAAACCCGTTTGTGAATTATAACCGGTTTTAATTCAAAACCAGTTTTAAATCGAAATCGTTTATGAACCATAAACTGGTTATCAAGTTCAAAACCGGTTTTTTAACAAATTCAAAATCAATTTTTGATGGATTGTGCTGTTTTTATAAGTAGTAGTTTGTTTCTCCCGGTTATAGGTAGTTAACCAACTATTTCTTGCAAGAATCTTTATTGTTTTGGAACTCTCAGACGAAATGATTTTTATAGAAATTGTTTAAGTTTTTAAGAAAAAAATTTCCGTCAAAATTTTCTGCAAATTTTTTTGACGAAAAATATTTCCATCAAAATTTGTAACTACAACATATCTGTAAAAAAGTTTGACGGAAAATTTTTTTTGTCGAATTTTTTTACGGAATATAAATTTCGTCAAAATATTTAACAAAAAAACATATTCATCGAAATTTTTGACGAAAAAATATTTCTATCAAAATATTTAACGAAACACGTTTCCTTAAAAAACTTTTGACGAAAAAAAGTTTCATCAAAATATTTTACAAAATTCAAATTCCGTCGAAAGTTTTCGACCGAAATATTTTCGTTAAACTTTTTGACAAAAAAATTTTCGACGAAATTTTTAACGAAACACATTTTCATCCAAAATTTTCGACGAAAAATATTTCTGTCAAGTTTTTTGATAAAAAATATTTCCATAAAAATTTTCAATGAGCACATTTCTATGAAAAATTTTCGTAAAAATTGTATGACGAACAATATTTCGATAAAAATTTTTGACAAATGTTTTTCTTCAAAATGTTTTATAAAAATATTTTTCGTCAAAAAATTTGAGGGAAATGATTGGAGGGAGGGAATTTAGATTTCGTAAAGAACTTTGACAAAAAAAACTCCCGTCGAAATTTTTTATAGAAATATTTTCCATCAAAAAAATTTTCTGAAATATTTTTCGTCAAATTTTTTTATGTAAATGTGTTTGATTGAAAATTTTGTTGGAAATATTTTTCGTCGAAAATTTGGACGAAAATATTTTCCGTAAAAAAATTTGATGAAATTATTTTCTGTCAATTTTTTTTATGAAAATGTGTTTCGTCAATTTTTTTTACAGAATTATTTTCCGTTGAAAAGTTTGACAGAATTGTTTTTGTCGAAAGTTTCTACGGAATTTAGATTCTATCCAGAATTTTGACATATAGATCTGACTAGATGAAATGGAAGCAGTGTATAAATTGTAACTTTAAGTAGTTAGGATGTAACATATATGTACTATTTTGATGTAACGTAGTTTAGGAAGTAGACTTTGATGTAAAATATTTAGAATGTAAAATATATGTACTTGACCAGGAATCATGTATCAGGTAACTAAGTAAAGTGTGTTGTATCAATGAATATTAAAAAGTTTACACTACTCTATATTTTATTTATTTATTATTTATACATAATGTGATATTCCTTAGAATAATTAAAATAGGGGATGTTACATTTTATGGTATCAGAGCAGCGGTTCAGGTAAATAAAAGACATAAACTATTCTAGTTGCTTGGTTTTTTTTTTTGTCATAGATCATGCATATTTTGAGTTATTTTAATGAGCCTGATCAACTCACTATCATAAAACAATATATGTAGATCTATGGCAGATACAAGACAAACATCTTCAACTTCTGAACCAGAAGTTAACCCAGTAACTGATGCATTTACTCGGGTGGTCGAAGCTCTTAGAGAACAGACTTTAACTAATCAGCAAATTATTCAGGAGTTGAGGGAGGACCGTGCAACCAGAAATTACACCCATAATTTTGAAAGTGAAAGTGGACCTAGAACTGTAAATACTCAGGGAGGACCTAATACTGATTATAAAGGACTTAATGAATTTCGTAAGCATAAGCCTTCCACTTTTCGTGGAGATTATAATCCTGAGGCAGCTATGGAAAGGGTCAAAGAACTTGAGAAAATATTCCTAGTAATGGATTGTCCTAATACTCATTGTGTAAACTTTGCCACATACTTGTTGATTGGAGAAGCAGAGCATTGGTGGACAAATACCAAAAGATATTTCCAAAGGCAAGGAACAAAGATTACTTGGACAATCTTTAAAGATGCCTTTTTGGAAAAATACTTTCCTCAAAGTGTAAGAAGCAGAAAAGAAATAGAATTCCTTGAACTGAAACAAGGAAACATGACTGTTGGAGAATATGTGACAAAATTTGAGGAATTATCCAGATATTCTAATTACATACAAAATCAACCTAATGAGGAATGACTGACAACTAAATTTGAATCTGGATTAAAACCTGAACTAAAAAGTATGATAGTAGGACATCAAATTAGGAACTTTGCATCATTAATAAACAGGTGCAGAGATATTGAAGCAAGCATGAAGGAGGCCGAGGAAGCAAGGGAGAAAGATAGAACTTCAAATCGGAGAAAGAATGATGATGACAACAAAGGAAGATTTCCACGAGCACAAAACTCAGGAAATAATTTTGCTAGCGATGGAGGGAGAAAAAATGCGGGTCGGATGAATTCTCAAATTCAGGTATGTCCGAGATGTAAGAAGAATCATGCTGGAGAATGCTTAGCAGGAAAAGGAGTATGCTTTAAATGTGGAAAGCCTGGACATATGTTGAAGCAATGCCCGCAGAATCGAAGTCATAATTCATCTAACCAACCTACAGCAAGAGGAAGAGTTTTCACTCTTAATGGTCAGGAAGCAGCTCAATCTTCAGATTTGGTTCAAGGTACGGGCCTAATACAAGATTCTCTTATGACTATATTGTTCGATTCTGGAGCTACTCATTCTTTCATCTCTCTATCTTCTGTTTAAAAGTTAAAATTACCAATTTTTATTTTACCTTCTCATCTTGAAATCCTTCTTCCTACTGGAGACAGAATAACCACATCTCAAATTTGTAGAAATTGTCCTCTTCAAATTGAAGGAAGATTGTTCGAAATAGATTTAGTTTGTTTGCCTATGACTGACATAGATGTTATTCTTGGTATGAATTGGTTATCTGCCAATTGTGTGGTTATTGATTGTCAGAATAAAAAGATAATTTTCACAAAAGAGTCAGAGTTCCTCAATGAGTCTTTATTTTCGTCAACTTCTCAACTTAGGAAAAGTCCAGTAGAGGGAGCACAAGGATATGTTCTCTTTAATATTTCAGAAGAAAAGGTTAAACCTGATACAACTAATATTCCTGTTGTCTCTGAATACTTAGAGGTTTTTCCGGACGATATTCCAGGTTTACCCCCAAACAGAGAAATTGAATTCTCTATTGATTTGATACTTGGAGTAAGGCCAATTTCTATTGCACCCTATAGGATGTCACCCATAGAGCTAGTTGAATTAAAGAAACAAATAGAAGAACTTTTATCAAAGCAGTTCATTAGGCCAAGTGTGTCACCTTGGGGAGCACCAGTACTTTTTGTCAAGAAAAAGGATGGAAGTATGAGATTGTGTTTGGATTACAGACAATTAAATAAAGTCACTATTAAAAATAAATATCCTTTGCCTAGGATAGATGATATTTTAGATCAGTTGAGAGGAGCCACAATATTTTCTAAAATATATTTGAGGTCGGGATACAACCAGATTAGAATTAAGACTGAAGATATTCCAAAGACAACCTTTAGAACTAGGTATGGACACTATGAGTATCTAGTAATGTCTTTTGGGTTGACAAATGCTCTAGCTGTATTTATGGATTACATGAATAGGATTTTTAGGCCTTATTTGGATCAGTTTGTAGTGGTGTTTATAGATGATATTTTAATATACTCCAGAAATGAAGAGGAACATAAGGAGCATTTAAGGATAGTTTTACAAATTTTAAAAGATAAGCAATTATATGCCAAACTTTCAAAATGTGAATTCTGGATGGAAGAAGTTAAATTCTTAGGGCATGTGATATCAAAGGAAGGAGTATCAGTTGATCCTAGTAAAATTGAGGCCGTAATGCACTGGGAGAGACCCAAGACTATCACTGAAATCAGGAGTTTCATAGGATTGACAGGATATTAGAGAAGATTTATTAAAGGATTTTCACAATTTGTATTACCTTTAACTAGGTTAACTAGGAAAGGAATTCCTTTTGTATTGACACAAGAGTGTGAGAATTGTTTCCAGGACTTGAAAAATAAGTTGACTTCTGCACCAATTTTAATAATCCTTGATCCATTAGGAAAATTCGAGGTTTACAGTGATGCATCTAGAAAGGGATTAGGATGTGTTTTAATGCAAGAAAGAAAAGTTGTAGCTTATGCATCAAGACAGTTGAGACCTTATGAGGAAAATTATCCCATTCATGATTTAGAATTGGCTGCAGTAGATTTTGCACTTAAAATTTGGAGACACTATTTGTATGGGGTCAAATTTGAGGTTTTTAGTGATCATAAAAGACTTAAATATTTATTTGACTAAAAAGAGTTAAATATGAGGCAAAGGAGATGGATGAAATTTATGAAAGATTATGATTTTGAACTTAAATACCATCCAAGAAAAGCAAATGTGGTGGCTGATGCTTTAAGCAGAAAATCTTTACACATGTCACATTTAATGATCAAAGAAATAGAGTTATTAGAAAAATTTAGGGACATGAGATTATCTGTAATTGTATTGCCTCAAAGTTTGGGTATTAGTGAAATAAGAGTAGATAATGAGCTAATAGAGAAAATTAGAAAAGCTCAGCAGGAGGACCCCAGTTTAGAAAAATTTCTGAAGCAAAAAGGATTTATCAGAGAAGAAAATGGTTTGGTAAAATTTCAAGGAAGAATTGTTGTACCTAGGAATGAATGAGTTTTGTCTTTAATCACTAAGAAAAAGAATATCTAAAAACGGACAGGGATTTTCCGCAGTTAGTGAATTGCCATTCTGCTACTGCTATGTTGGCATCTCATTAGACTTGTATTTTTCAGTCAAATTTAATCTCATTGAGAAATACATACCTGAAGCTTCAGTTATGGCTGCCTCAATTATAGACCATGGAAGATTATGTACACCGAATTGGAAGGACAGGGCGTGCGGGATCAACCGGCCTATCTAATTCCTTTTACAATGATCGTGACATGGTACTTGCCATCCTCCTTTTCTTTAAAAAAAATAATGAAAAATTTGAACTTGGCTTTTTTCTCTTGACTTTGATATTAATTGATTCTGCTCTTTAGTTCCTTGTGGAAAATATAAGGAAAGCAATAGCTGATGCTGAATCTGGGAACAGTCCGGCGTTTTCAACTGGCAAGGTACTATATTTGTCCTGCTACAATGAGTTAGGACTCTTGTGGTCCAGTTGGAATTTGATTTTGTTGATTATGACATCATTGAGTTAGAAACATCTGACTCTTCTTATTTAGTGAGTAATATATTTTTTCCTTACTGTTGTTCATTTTTTAATTGTTGCATTTTTTTTACGAGCTCTTTGTTGCCCCTTTTTGTTTTGTAGACGTCATTGGTTTAATCTCAGGAATTGGGAAATTTTGTGATCGTGTGATTTCTGGTAGGAAGACGAAAATGGTTGTGTTGGAGCTTGACAACCTGAGGTATTTTAAATGTCAGAGTTAAAGAAAATAATTTGGTTGCCACTCTGTTATCTTATATGTTTCTTGTATGACATTGTTCCTCCTGCAACTCATATGTAGGGGTGACAAGCTGGAGTGCACTTTGTGGGAGCATTATGTGGATGAGGTGCAGTCTTTTTTGGCAAACAGTGAGACTCCTCATAACGTCATGGTAGATCACCTCCATGGCAAGAAGCTTAAACAGATCCTCAATATTGCTCTACAAATGGCGTTGGCAATGGAGTACTTTCACTTCTCAACGATAGTTCTAAGAGACATAATTTCATTAAAAAAGAGTCTTTGATTTATTTTTTTTGGTGGGGGCAGCCTTGATGCCACCAGATCCTTTTTTTGAAAATTAAATATATGTTTTTCATTCGATTTTCTCGTTATTTTTGGTCGTAGTCACAGAGGAAGAGAGAAAGGGGAGGAGAGAGAGGATGTGGGAGGAAGTGAGGAAAAAGAAAGGGAAAAAAGAATTTATTTTATATCGTAAATATTCAACCGTTAGATGAGATTATAATCGAACGATATTGAAAGGGGTAGGCAAATGTAGGTAAAATAAGAGTAGGTAGAATAACATATCCTATTTAATATATAACAAACAAATTAAACGTTCATTTTTTTTATATAAGAGTATAAATAACACAATTTCATATGTCGTAAATGAAAACTAGAAACTATTATTTGGAGGATGAGCACATTCTTCTATCCATGTTTCCCACTACTTTCTATATGGAAAATTATCTTAAACTTATTAATAATTGTAAAGAACGTTAAGATACACCACCCCAAAAGCTAGCTCAAAGGGTGAGAGTGCTCAAGGCCTTATAAACACCACATTAGTTGCACATACAACCAATGTGTGACTATATATCTCAACACGCCCCCTCACACGAGAGCCCATTGAGCTTGAAGAGTGGAAGATGCAACAGGCCCAGCCTACCTGTGCTAAGAAAGTCCACAAGAGAAAGTGGGGGGCGGCGATGCTCTGATACCATGTAAAGAACCTTGGGATACACCACCCCAAAAGCTAGCTCAAAGGGTGGGAGTGTCCAAGGCCTTATAAACTCCACATTAGTTGCACATACAACCAATGTGGGACTATATATCTCAACAATAATATTAATTATTATGTCTATTGGGTGGAAAGATATTTAATATTGAAAATTTAAATTTTTAAATTTGAATTTTGAACTTGAAAAGTGAAAAAAGAGTTCAGCATTTAATATTTCTGTAATGGGAAAAAGATGTCTATATAAGAAATTTGAATTTAATATAAAATCATAGATTAAATAAAAAATATTTAAAATTATAAAATATATGTGTAGTTGATAAAAAAATTTAAATTTAAATTTTAAATAAAAAATAAGAAATGACGAATTTATACTTTAAACGAATATTTATTAAAATTTTAACTAAAAAAAGTAATACAAAAAGAGAAAAAAAATTCATACAAATATTTTTCAAAAAAATAATTAACATAAACATTTAGAATATACATGTATAACCAATTTAAAAGAACATTTAAAAATGATTACAAAAAAAACATATAACAATCATAAATTAATACAAAAGAATTTAAATTTTAAATTTAAATAAAATATAAAACGTCTTCTATCATTCTGTAAAAAAAAATTATAAAAATTTATTAACTATAAAAATAAAAAATTTTAATTTAGTATAAGAAAGAAATTAAACATTCATTTTTTTATTGCAAGAGTATAATTAACACAATTTTTTATGTCGCTTTCTCCTTCACTTTCAACTTTGTGTTCACAGTTCAAAATATTTAAAACCTTTTCTTCTTTGGTATAAAAGAATAAAAAGAAAAATATTAAATAAAATTGAATTTGTAATTAAATTCAATTGAGAAAATATGTTAACAATTGTTGGTGGCTAACAACTCATTTTAATTTTTAATTTTTAATTTGAATTTGAATTTGAATTTGAATTTTAAATGGTGGAAAAATATTTGAACAATTGTTGGTGGCAGATACCTCATTTACTATCTCATTACTTTCTTTTTTGTAGACATAAAATATCATATATTATAATAATTAAACTTCAACTATATATAATAATAAATTTTAATTTTAATTTAATGTTTAACATTTATTCAACATTTAATGTTTCTGAAGTGCAAAGATATATATATATATATATATATATATATATATATAAATAAATTTAAATTTAATATAAAATTATAGATCAAATGAAAAAATATTTAAAATCATAAAAATATATGCATAATTGTTAAAAAATAAGAAATGACATATTTATACTATAAAAGATAATAAATAAATAAATTAACTTAAAAAATTAATACCAAAAGAGGAAAAAATTCGTAATATCGACACAAAATCCTTGCAAAAAAATAATTATTTCTTATTATTTTGAAAATCCAACTGTAATACATGAAAGTTGATCTCTAAGATAAAATATAAAAATCTAGAGGTAACTATCAGAGCCTTTTTTGGACTATTTGACCATTTTGCCCTTTATTAATTAATTAATAATCATTTTGCCTCTTATCCAAAACTATCTACCAATCTGCCCTTATTTAATCGATTAACTTGAAGATTTAATCGATTAAATGGTTAAAACTGAAAAAAATGATTGACTTGAAGATTTAATCGATTAATCTTCAACTTAATCGATTAAATCTCCCTCTTACTTGATTTAATCGATTAAAACATATTTAATCGATTAAATATCCCAAATGAGCGTGAAAGCATTGATTGAATGAGACAAATACGGTATTGGAGGTTATTTGAATTTAATGTAATAGGAGTTAATTGCAATTTGTATTTAATAGGAGCTGATTGCGTCCTATTTAATACAAAACACAATCAGCTTCTATTAAATATAAAACGGAATCAGCTTCTATTAAATACAAAACGCAATCAGCTCCTATTAAATACAAATCACAATCAACTCCTATCACATATTCATCATAAAAGTACTTAGCAGTATTTTTATGATGAATATTATGATAATTTTTTGAAAAAATTATGGCTTGTTTTTTTTAAATTTTTTTAAAAGTTAAAGTTATTTTACATTTGGTGAAATACATAAAAAGTACTTTTAAATAAAAAATTTATTTTAATGTTACAATTAATAAGCACTTTTTTTTATATAAAATTACTAAAAATAGTATGTGATAGTGGGGTGGATTTGAAATGTAAGAGAGTAGACGCCTTATCAGAATATTGATAATTATATGAGTTAAACGATTTATTTAAAGTTGCTATATAAACACGTAAAATGATTCAAAAGAATATTATTTTTAAAAAATATTAATTTTTTTGAAAAAAAAAAAAAAACTCATCCAATTGCTCGCCTAAAAATAAAAAGAATGTAATTTGAGAAAGAAAAAGGAAAAAAAATAGGGTGATTGAACGAGTGGGTTATAAAAGGGAAATCATCCAAAATCTTCGGACAATATTTGTCCCGGAAACTTCCTCATAGTATTCGGAACCTTCCTCTTTTCTTTGTCTTTTCTTTCTTTCTTTTTTTGTTGTCTTTTGTATATCAATGGATTCTTCCTATGAAGCAAACACTCTGTAAAAAAGCTGAACATACGAAAGGGAAAAGTTGAGATCAAGAAAGTGGAGGAAAAAAAGCAAGCGCTGCGTGACCTTTTCCAACCGCAATCAACTCTTATTAATTGCGAAGCAATGAACCGATTGAAATATTTTCAAAAAAAAAAAAAATGTGTGAGTTTCTTCCACAAGAGGTAGTGGAGGAAATCCTCCATCGTTTACCAGTCAAAAGCATTGGTAAATGCATGTCAGTGTGCAAATCATGGAATATTATGATAAAAAGTCATTCCTTTATATTCTCACACCTCTCTAGACCCTCCCTTCCTCTCTTCCATGTCTCTGATTTGTCCCTCTCAGATCTTGATCTTTGTACGGTGCATTATTCTCTTTACTCCCCAAAAAGAATTAGAGTATTCTTATCTGTTGCTCCTAATAGTAACGAACATGTTTCGTTCATAGGCTCCTCCAACGGCCTCGTTTGTCTGTCTGTGTCCTACATTTACTATAATATCAGCCTATGGAACCCTGTCACACGTAAACACCTCCAACTCCCAAACCCACCTAATCCACCATATTATTATGATAGTTTAACGTTCTCTTACGGATTTGGATTTGATTCCAAGAACAATGATTTTAAGGTTGTGCGACTCTATTATCCCGAAGGAAGATTCAGTTATCCTCCTAAGGTTGAGTTATATTCCCTCAATGAAGGTGCATGGAGGGACATTAATGCCTCACACATCAAATTAACTGTCAAAAAACTTCATCAACACTCATTTCTTAATGGGAACGTGCATTGGCTTGCCACGCGCGGGACTGATCCTTTTCCGCGGCGTAATGATTGCATATTGATGTTCGATATGGTGGAGGAGAAGTTCAACACTATGGAGCTTCCGGAGCAGCTGAATAATACTATGAATGCTATGCCTTATGGAATTTGTTACAACATTACTGTGATTGATGGTTGTTTTCTCTCTTATACAGTACTCATTTCCTTTATCTGATAGCAATGTCATTAACATATGGATGAGGACTCATGACTCTTGGAGTAAGATTCACACTTTTTGCTTAAAGGAAAAGTTTTGCACGCTATGGGGAGTGAGCACAAGGAGTGAGATTTTAGTGTTCCCATCAAAAACATATGATGGACTGCGTTCCTTTGATCTCAAGAGCCAAGAGATTAGGGATATTGGGATCAAACTTAAAATAACAGATGTATGTTCTAGTGATTTCAAGCCAAGCATGGTTTTACTAGACAAAGATAGCTATGATGGTCATTCGGGTACTTTTACTAATGTTTTATGTGTCGTAGTTTTATATTTATTTGGGGGAACTGATATTAATGTTTTGTTCTTTATATATGGAAAAAACCAATTCAACCTAAAAGTTTAAGCTTTTGGGTGATGGCCTTTTTAATTGTTTATATTAGACTGTAACAATATATATATAACCCTTGTAGTGAGGGTCCGAGATAATGAATCGTCTGCAAGGTGCAAGTGTTGGGGGCCAAACAGCAAGTTGAAAGATGTTCAACATGTCAGCGGCAGAGGGACTTTGCAGAGAGCTTGGTTTTACTTGACAAAGAAAGCAATGTCGCTGTGTCATGTACTCTACCAATCTTTTGTGTATTTTTCTTATAGTTTTATATTTATTTGCTGGACTAATATTAATGATTTGTTGTTTAATTTGCTTTGTAGTGTGAGGCCAAGAGGATGAATCGCCTTGAAGGTGGAAGTTGAAAGATGATGGACATGAACCCATGCTGAAATCCAGTACTATGTTTTACTCTTGGATTCTCACAAGGATAGTTTCTCAAGACTTTTAAGCATAAACATTGAATATGAATTTACTCCTAGTTTTTGGAGCTGTATTGTTGCTAGTTTGATTTTATCTTTTAATCTCTACTTCTTTTTCTTTTTCTTTTTTTATTTCTCTTTGACATTTGATGCTTTTCTTATTTCACACCAAGGTAATTGGATCAGTAAAAGACTTTTGGGTTTTGATATGTTGAACATTTGCTAAATGATAAGGTGAAACATGTAACAATTGCTATAGTTACTCTAAACTTGTGCGGGATGCTACATGTTCTTTTTCGGTTATACTCTCAACAAAGATGGCAAATGTTGGTGTTGATGGGTCAGAATTCCAATTGCTAGGGTATAGATCACTCATAGGAGCAGATGAATTTCCCTCATAGTCTTCCTCTACTCTTTGCTGTTTCTAGACCAGCAAAAGATTTTCTAAGGTAGTAGTGATCTTTATGGTTTTGTTTGAAAAGTTTGATCCCAAGGTTTGGTTTGTGATGGTTTTTGTTAGAATATTAGATATGATATGATTAGATATGATTAGATTCTGTCTTATCCGTAAATAGTCTGACTGTATTCTGACTGTATTAGGATTAGGTTTGGGTCTTACACTTAAGCTCATTAGGGTCTCTATATATTGTAACTCCCTGACACAGATCAATACACAACGTATTCTTTTACATTTAACTTGGTACCAGAACTCTTTCGTTTTAGGAACCCTCGCTTCCGCTCAGAAACCTTGTTTTTTTGCTTTAAAAACCTAAGCCCACTGCTTAGGAGTCCTCTTTCTTGCCGTGCGTCCTTCCGGCAAGCCTTCTGGGGCTGTAAACAGCCTCTGAGTGATTTTTTCCAAACGCGTCAGCACCTCCGACGGCCACCGGAACCACCGCCCGCCGTCAGAATCACTGTTCAGGTAACCAGAGACTTTTTCCGGCAACTTTTCCGACCAAACTTCACGCGATCAGGACCCTCTCTTCCCGGCGACCAGGTCTGTGGTGGTCCGGTCAGCAACGCATCTCCCACGCGCCGTCACGCGCCACCTGTCTTCACTGCGCGTGGGCTTCACGCGCCACCTTCTGCCGGCGCGTGAGCACTATTCCGGCGGCTTTTTCCGGCCGGTCTTGGACAGAGAAACTCGCCTTCTCCTCCCCTTTCTGGATCTGTGATTGTTTCTCCGTGGGTCTGACCTTAGACGCGTGGTTCTTCTTGATTGGATATCGTTTGCCTTCGTTTACGGCTTTTATATTTTATCTTTAAATGGCAGCAGCATCTCCTGATCTCTCGGAGGTTAACTCTCCTTCTATTGTTGCAAATATAGCTCAGTCAGACAATGCATCATTTGGTTCAGGTTCGAACTATGCTGCACTCCAAACCCCTCTCAGGAAGGCTTCTCCTCAGTCTCAGCCTTATACTGGTAATCCCGTTGCTTGTGTTTCTCATTCTACATCACTTGGCACTTGGATATTTGACTCCGGTGCTACCGATCATCTCTGTGGTAATAAGGAACTCTTTACATCTCTTACTTATTCTGATCATTTACCGTCTTTTACCCTTGCGGATGGAACCAAAGCCCCAGTTCGTGGGATTGGACAAGCTCGTCCGACCTCTACCTTGGCCCTGACATATGTCTATTACATTCCTGGCATCTCTTATAACTTAATTTCTATTAGTAAGTTGATCCACTCCCTCACTTGCACCATTACTTTCTCTAACCATTCTGTTTCTGTGCAGGATCCGGGTACGGGGAAAATGATTGGAGTGGTCGTGAGTCACGGGGGCTTTATTATCTGGATGTGCCTCGTCCTTCAGTAGCATGCTCTCTCACAGAATCTCCACAACTTATCCACATTCGCCTTGGTCATCCAAGTCTTTCAAAGTTGCAGAAAATGGTTCCTCTTTTGTCCGGTCTTCAGTCTTTAGACTGTGTGTCATGTCAACAAGGGAAGCATACACGCTCCTCTTTTGCCAGTCGAGTCAATAAACGAGCTGATGCCCCTTTCTCTCTTGTTCATTCAGATATCTGGGGTCCAAGTCGTACCTCGTCTGTCTTAGGTTTTCGGTATTTCGTTACCTTTATTGATGATTTTTCCCGTTGCACTTGGACCTATTTAATGAAAAATCGTTCTGAGTTATTTTTCATTTATAAAAAGTTTTCTACTGAGATCCATACTCAATTTGGTGTTTCTATTCGTATTCTACGTAGTGATAATGCTAAGGAATATGTTTCTATTGATTTTTCTAATTTCTTGGCCACACAAGGTACTTTACATCAAACTACTTGTCCTCATACTCCACAACAAAATGGGGTGGCTGAACGAAAAAACAGACATCTCCTTGAAACTGCCCGTACCCTTCTTATTCATATGCAGGTTCCCCTTCACTTCTGGGCAGATGTTGTACTCATCTCTTGTTTTCTCATCAATCGCATGCCTTCATCTGTGCTCCACAATGACATTCCTCATAATCTATTGCTTCCAGATGTTCCTCTTTATCCTCTAACTCTGCATGTCTTTGGTTATACTTGTTTTGTTCATGATCTCACTCCTGGTAAGGATAAGTTAACATCCAAAGCCTTTCAGTGTATCTTTCTTGGTTATTCTCGTCTTCATAAGGGTTATCGTTGTTATTCTCCCGACCTTAAGCGTTACTTAGTTTCCGCTGATGTCACTTTTCTTGATCAACAACCCTTTAATTCTATCCCATGTCAGATGTCACAGGTTGATCATGTACTTCCGGTCCCTTTTCTTGACTTGTCTTTGCCAGCTGCAGGTGCTTCTATTCCAGATGAGCAACCTATTGCTTCTATACCTGAGGACCGTCCACTTCTCACTTATCAGCGTCGCAAAACTATGCCTCCTGTCGACTCGACTCTGGCTGACTCATCGCCCACTGCTGTTGCTTCTTCCCCTCCGGATCCTTCATCAGAGACTCTTCCCATTGCTCAAAGAAAAGGTACACGTACTACTCGTAACCCTTATCCTCTTTATACCTTTTTGAGTTATGACCGTCTTTCTTCACCTCATTTCACCTTTGTTTCTAGTCTTTCTTCTATTTCTATTCCTAAGACCGCAGGTGAAGCACTTTCCCATCCAGGGTGGCGCCAAGCAATGCTTGATGAGATGACTGCACTTCATTCCAATGGCACTTGGGACCTTTTTTCTGCTCCTCCAGAGAAGTCTATAGTTGGTTGTCGCTGGGTATTTACTGTGAAAGTTGGACCTGATGGCCATATTGATCGTCTCAAGGCACGTTTAGTTGCCAAGGGTTTTACTCAAATCTTTGGCCTTGATTATAGCGATACATTTTCTCTGGTCTCTAAGATGGCGTCAGTCCGCCTCTTTCTTGCCCTTGCTGCTGTTCGTCACTGGCCACTCCTTCAACTTGACATCAAAAATGCCTTTCGACATGGTGATTTACAAGAAGAAGTTTACATGGAGCAACCACCTGGTTTTGTTGCTCAGGGGGAGTCTGGAAAGGTGTGTCGTCTTCGGAAATCCTTATATGGTCTCAAGCAGTCTCCTCGAGCATGGTTCAGTCGCTTCAGTTCTGTTGTTCAGGCGTTTGGCTTAATCCGCAGTAAAGTTGACCATTCTGTGTTTTATAGGATTACATCTCCTGATAAGTGTATCTATTTGTTAGTCTATGTTGACGACATCATTCTCACCGGAAGTGATCAAGACGGAATTCGTCAGTTAAAACAGCATTTGTTTAGTACATTTCAAACAAAGGACCTTGGGAAGCTGCGTTACTTCTTGGGAATTGAGGTGGCGCAATCCAGACAGGACATTTCTATCTGTCAAAGGAAATATGCCTTGGATATCCTAGAAGAAACTGGTATGTTGGGGAGTAAACCAGTTGATACACCTATGGATCCTAATGTCAAGTTATTACCCGGACAGGGGGAGCCGTTATCTGATCCTGGACGTTATCGGAGGCTAATTGGGAAGCTCAACTATCTTACTGTGACTAGGCCAGATATTTCTTTCGCTGTTAGTACGGCTAGTCAGTTTCTTGATTCCCCTTGTGATTCACATTGGGATGCTGTTGTGAGGATCCTCCGATACATCAAAGGAGCACCAGGAAAAGGTTTGTTGCATTCAGATCAGGGAAATACAGAAATTTGTGGATATTCAGATGCTGATTGGGCAGGATCACCCTCGGACAGGCGCTCTACTTCTGGCTATTGTGTCTTCTTTGGAGGAAACTTAATTTCGTGGAAGAGCAAGAAACAACCTGTTGTTGCTCGATCTAGTACAGAAGCTGAGTATCGTGCAATGACAAATGCTACCTGTGAGTTAGTCTGGTTAAAGCAGTTGATTCAGGAGCTTCATCTTTGTGAACAGAAACAACCCATGACACTCATCTGTGATAATCAAGCTGCGCTACATATATCCTCTAATCCTGTCTTTCATGAGAGGACCAAACATATAGAGATTGATTGTCACTTCATTCGAGAAAAGATTCAGTCAGGAGAAATCAAGACTGCTTTCGTAAACTCCTCTGATCAACTAGCGGATGTTTTCACTAAAGCTCTTAGAGGTCCTCGGGTTGAATACATTTGTAACAAGCTTGGTGCTCATAATATATACGCACCAGCTTGAGGGGGAGTGTTAGAATATTAGATATGATATGATTAGATATGATTGGATTCTGTCTTATCCGTAAATAGTCTGACTGTATTCTGACTGTATTAGGATTATGTTTGGGCCTTACACTTAAGCCCATTAGGGTCTCTATATATTGTAACTCCCTGACACAGATCAATACACAACGTATTCTTTTACATTTAACTGTTTTGTTTATCATCATCATGTGATGGCTATCCTCAAAGACAAATTGCAAAAAATGCATGACACAAAAAAATATAGGAAAAACTAGCATAAATGTGACTTGTGAGGCAAAACATGAAGCGGAATTCCTTAATAGCATTCAGC